TGCTAAAGACATGATGTGGGGAGATATAATTTACAGATACAAGAATCTGAAAATTTCATTGTTTACTTTTTTGCCTAGGGAGCGGTTGATGTCTTAATTCATTTTGAGGCTGGATCTTGCATTTCCAGTACCCTGAGTAGGACAATAGATTTCATCCAAAAAGTCTGGGAGAAACTTCCATGGATTTTGATGGGGTTTGAAGATAAATGCTGATAAGCATAATGTAGACATTTGCCTTTTCTTAAGTCTCATCTAAATTTGGATTTGGAAGGTATGATGTAGCATATTAATAGTACAACGTAGTTAAGGCATCGTGCTATGAACACATAGCTTTACCCTTCCTTACCTACAGGGCATTATTACTACATAGAATTTAGCACATTTTTATCTAGAAATGGTTGATGGCAAATGAAAAGACAGGTTATAAATCAAAGACAGGCTTGTCTTGTGACTACACCTCTCCAGTGTGATATCTGCTTCTACCTATTCAGCTGGGACAGCAGATAACCTTGTAATTCCCTGGCCATATTAGCCTGTACGTACTAGCTGTGAGATTGAGATGACATGAACATTGGGGCAAAGGGCCTACATGGAGGGCAAGGCATACATGAGTGTCCTCACCCGCTCCACATCTGATGAGACAGTCAGGAAAGACTGAGGATAGGGCAGTGCAGCAGTGGGTACAGTGCATGGATGGCATTTGATGCCCAGAAAACCAAGCATGTCTTTTTTTTTTCCAAAGCCATCAGCATCGTGACTTCCTCCAAGGCCACATGGAGAAGTCTCCCCCACTCTTTGGCCCAGCTCTTCTGCCACATGGGATCATCAGCCAGGAAAGAAAAAGCTCCACTGCAAAAGTTGTTGCCTGAAGTTCTCACACAGAGCCAGCAGCTGAATTTTGAGAAGAGTTTGGCAGTCATTCCCTCTGGCTATCACCCACCCTGGTGCACATAGACTTGTTTGATGAAGTCTGATACATTTTCCTATTAGCCAAGAACTAGCACTGAGGGCAAATCCATTATTCAAGATTAAACATATACTATAGAGGAAGTGGAGAAGCATGTGGTCGCTCCTTACATAAACTTGTACAAATTTTCATTCACCCTCACCATCTTCACACTGCTGTTGACATCATCTTAGTGTGCTGGGACAATTTAACCAAGGAGGAAGATCAGTGAAAGCAATACAGGCAATCTAGGGGGAAAGCTCGCTCTAAGTCCTACTAAGCCATTATGACCAGTTATTCCAGGTACTGGAGTTATGCTTCCCTAACTCCTCAAACTGGACCACAGAAGAGGTCCTTTGCCCCCACAGGACAGAAGTGATCTGACGTGTAGTCACAAAGATCAGTGTTTGGTTCATGAGCTTATATAAGTCTGTAAAAAATTACTGTTAACCCAGGTATGTGATTTGGGCCTACAGCTGCTTGTAATAATCTGGTTTTCACAAATGCCCCAGAAAAACATGAAAGTTCATCTATTTGAATGTTGTTGAGAACATTATTGAAGTTGCAAAACACAAAATGCAAAAATATACATGTTTGTTATTTTTGCTTTTGTTTGAACCTTTCCTTGCTGTTACGTTATGAATTGCTGTTTCTTTGGTCACTGTCCCCCTCGTGCTGTTCCTCAACCAAGCATGGATTCATCTGTCATGTAAATGCATGGGCAAACATCAGTATGCAGTCATTGTGCATCTGTTGCTATTTATTAAACTGTGGTTTATATCTTTGGAGTACATGGCATCATCCTTCATGGATGTGGCTTTATCTCTGTGTTTGCAATATGGAATTAATTAAGAATACTAAAGTTTGTGTTTAAAAGGATGATATTTCTAACTTTTATCTGTGAAGGCAACATTTTCATATCCCTTTTCTCCTAATAGCTATATCCTTTGGGAAGTTGTGATAGACACATTTAGGTAAATATTATTCCTCCAGCACACATGGTTTCCATTGCAATTGATCCCCTGCTGTTTCCTCCCAAGCGCTTTACTCTGTTACATCTTCCACAGTGGTGGCTGAAATACTGATCAGCAACAGCAGAGACAAGTATAGCTGCAGCAATGGTGAACTTCAGGGGCAAGGAACTTTTATATCTCAGGTTTGCATGTACCACAGTTACTGAAATACAGTTTTTAGACATGCACCAAAGTTTGCCCTGGAATTGAAAGTGTAAAGCAGCTTGAGGCAATTGTAATTTAATAAAAGAATGGAATGAATAAAGACTAACTGGATAAGATGGGACATGAAGAGAGTGTGCTGCAAAGAAGCCACATGTGCACAAGAGCCCTGCAGAACACACTTCATTCTGCAGAAACACATTGGCTTATCCAGCAGCTCCGAGCACAGCCAGCCCAGAAGCTGCCCTGAGAGCAGCTGAGCTGCGTGAAGCTTGAGGGTCACTTGCAGGCTTGCACAAAATTCCTCTCACATCCATTTAAGCCAGCACTGCCACTGGAAAAGGTTTCTTGGCAGAGGGTAGCAACAAGAGGTGAGGAAAAAAATAGGGAACTGCTTTTTCTGGTGACTGTGTTTGCTCAAACACATGTCAAACTATTGCTCTAATTTCAGTAGTGATAACATGTTTTATCTTCCTAGACCCCATCCAACATTCTCCAGGCATCATTTGACTACAACGTGAGGATGTAATCTCAGATCATCCTGAATCTGGCACAGCCAGCAGGTGTTATGCACCGCAGGGAGGTGCATACACTTTTAACAGCAGATTTTGAGTGTCTCCTAACTCTCTGGCACACGAACAGCACTGGACACAAACATTTGCCTGTGCCCCAGCCAGTGGCTGTGAACATTTATCCTTGCTATTCCTCATTCCACTGGTGCAAATGCCAGGATGTGCACCCAGAAAATGAACAAAGGTCAAATCTTAGCATTGCCCTGCTGGAGGCGTGGAGGGAGGTGGGCAGGGATGGACACGCGGCCGCTCTGGTTCCGCCGTGCGGATACCCACTGGGATGGGGCAGAGCGCATCATTAAAGGCACTAATGGGATCAGGGCTCTGAGAATGTATCTCACATTTGGAAAGAGCAGACTAAATTTCCTGCAAAAGCCATCTGGTGCAGTGAAAGCATCTCAGGCAATAGGGATCCTTTGAAGCTTAAGTTCCATTTTTATTAATATTTTTTATTATTGGTTAAGCATCGTGTGCTCAAAGCTTTCCCAGACAGGATGATATGATCTCTGCTCACGGAATGCAACAACTGCAGGTCTGAGGCTGGAATCTGCTTTTGTACAAATAACAGTGCCGTGCCCTGCCCCCCCTGCTGACAGGCTGGACCTGACTCTGATTTGCAGAAAATAAATAATACAATGAAAATTTTATGGAAAAATCTGCAACATGAAAGGGGTATGTCATGACTAACCTGTGCAGTACTCTTAGAGCCTCAGTCTTACCTTCATACCAGAAGAGATTTTTTTGGGACAGTTAAATGTCCTAAAATTTCTAACGCAAAGCAGAAGCACTTCAACCTTTGAGTTTTTGTACTTTCTGTGGGGACCCCAGGCTGGCCTTTCCTTTGGGGGATGTGGTTCTGATTTGTGTCTCATGAGACCGAAAGATGTGGAATAGACTCTCCTTAGGGCTTTCTAATGGGAAGCGCCTTGGAGCAGATGGCCCAGGCCTTGCTCAGCAGATTGTCACCCCAAAACAGAGGACCCCTGGCAGGGCCTTTCCTGGTACTTCCACAGGATCCACTGTAGTGGAGAGAACCCTCTATGGCTGCCCATTAAAAAGCTTTGCCTTCACAAAGAGTGGTCATAGTGGTAAGAAGAGCCTTCTTGTTGTGCTAACGAGGAGTCCTCCCTAATTGATAGGGGAGCCTGGTTGCGAGCCACAGGGGCTGTGCTGCATGAGAAAACCTCCCTGCAACTGCATTGCTGAGGGTTAATAGGGCCCTAATGAGCTGCCAGGTGAGCACCTGCAATAGGAAACCAGGCAGGCTCCGACAAGCAGAGTACAACCCAGGGCAAGAGATCAGGCATCCTCAGTCTAGAGGTACCCAGGCTGCTGCAGAGGCCTGGAAACATCCACACACAGATGAGGCTCCAGGGAGTCCATGGCAAAGTCCCAAGAGCAGTTATTCTGCACAGCAGTGCAAGCTCAGAGGAAAACAACGCCGCCACACACAGGCTGCAGGGCCGAGCTCCTCTGCAGGGCTTGGCTGGAGACCTTCCCTTGCAGAGAAGTTGGGCTTTTCTGAATACATTGCAAAAGAGATAGTAAAATACTCTACGGCCAGTGTTTCCAGACACTCCTAGGAGTGTCACGTTATGTTGACATCTCTCAGAGCCTGAGAATGCAATAAAACCCTATTTGTCAGAGGCCACATCTATCAAAACTCTTAGGGAAGATTCAGGAGACTCTTGAGACCAGACTTGCTCTTCTATATCTGTGAGCCTGCAAGCAGATCCAGTGTCCTTCAGGATCTAAGAGTCCAAGGGGCTTGGGTGCATTTGCACATTGCCAAGCATGCCCGCAGGTTGTCCTCAGCTGTAGGCAATGCTGTTAGTTGTGTGCAGGTGGAGAACACTTGCATTTGTTCATTTGGTTGCAGTAAAGACACAGACAATCAAAAAACAACAGAACAAGCTTTTCACATTGTGCTTAGAAAAAACGTAGTCATTTTTTATCATACAGAGTAACATTTCATACATAAATAATTTGAATGTCTCACTCTTTCATGGAAAGTAACAGAGAAAAACCTTCAAGGTTGATATATGGGAGCTGGCACTACAAACCACAGAGGATAAAACCTAAGACATTCTGATACACGGTTCTGGAGGTGATCTCTACACCTCCCTTCCCCTGCCCTGGGAGGAACTGAACCAAAACCCTACTTTGAAGACCACCCCCATCATCAACCTTTGGTTATGGATCCCAACTCTGCAGCCTCGGCCCCACCACCGAAATCTCGACCTTTACAGCCGCAATGTTGTGAAATCCTTGTTGGCGGCTGCAGGAGGAGCCACGTTCATTATTCATGGGCTTTCCGAGACTGCTGAACTATCTAGGCCTGCTCCAGCGGGTCCCTTGCGGCTATTCCTATTTCTTGGCTCGCAAGCTGGTTACTGAAGCAGCAAGGCTGGGTATTGCACATTCTAGCACCATTTGACTAAAACTGAGCGCGTTTATGAAGAACAGCAGAGTGTGGGAACAGAGGAACAAGCTAGCAGGGCGGTGGAGAAGGGAGCATTCTGCAAGGAGAAATCTGAGCTTTGATCAAGAGGCAGCAGCATTTGACTCAATCTCAGCTGGCAGGGAGTTTGCATTCTAAAGCAAAATAAAATATGTCATTCTTTTCAGTAGCTGAAATTCTCCCCAATGGTTTGTTCCTCCCAGGATCCTTTTATGTGATCTCATTGTCTTTAAAGTCTTTCGCCTGAGGAAGCTGATCGTTTTATATAGACTACGGCATTAACATCCGGTATTAAATCAGTCGGGCTGCTCTGAAATGAGGCAAGTGGGCGTCCTGGAAAGGAAATAAAAACTCAGCTTTAATAGAGGAGATAGATAGGTTCATTTTGATCCATGCTATTTCTTCCAAAAGAGGCAGGAACTTAATCATTTCTCACAGGAGGGTCGTTCTGCCCTTTTGCAGATGTGTTTTACATCCCCAGTGCACTCCAGACACTGGTGGAATTCAGGAAGGGATGCGAAATCAGGCACAAGAGGCTCTCACATCTTGCTTGGTTGACAAAGTTGCACTAAGAGGGACTGGCAAGTTCCTACCACTCTCATTAATCCAAATGGAAAAGTTGGGCCTGTCACACACTTTTTGTCATCTTTGGTTGTAAAGATTTACCGTAAAAATGCAAGAAAAAAGAAACTGCAGCAAGAGAAAAGTAACAGACTGCAGGCACAGTGCTGGCAACAAGGACCAGCGTGGCACTCGCTATGGAAAAGGATGATCCTTGCTACGTCACTTCTTTTTCTGCATCATTTTGCGCAGCTTTAAGTGCATTTCTTCCCAGTGATGCTCTAAATCCAGACTTTTATGCTGTGTCAATGTAAGCACTCTTATGCCAAGGGCTAAATTTATGCCACTTGAACCCAAACTCATGAAAGACTGCATTTTTGTTATTGTTTTAACAGAATTTGCCACGTGAGCTGTCAAGGCATGACTTTCTAGCACTGCCACTGGAAACACTCATTTACCTCATTTACTGTTTTACTTTGAGCAACAATTCATGATTGAAGAGGTAATTTATATATAATCCTGAAAACATGCTAACTATTAAAGGCTATAATCAGAGCTAATTACAGGGACATTTGTGAAATCCACTGATTTGGAGCTTCAGCTTTGAAAAAGGAAGTGACAAGTTCTAAGCTATGATTTTGCCAAGTAGTAAAAGTAGTAACTACCTACTCTTACACAGCTGCCTTCATCTTGTAAAAAAAAAAAAAAACCCACATTTTTGTAAACTATATATGCCAGAGGAATTGTTTCATCTACACCAAAATTAAGCCATCTCTGCATGAAATAAGTAACTGTTTAACAATATATAGAGGTTCTATTCAAAAGTTGGAGAGAAAAATTCAGAAAAATATTGTATGTTCTGGAAAAGCAGCAGAAATCTGCTGATGCAAATGTATTTTTTCTCTTCTGTCAGCACCTCTCTCCTTGCAAATACTCTGGATCCTTGGATGCTCCTCCATGGCAGCCACTCGCCGTGAGAAGAGGAAAGGCAGCTCTTATGGGTACTTGCAGACTTCAGGCACCATGAAGGAGGGCTTTACCACACTCATGAGAGAGGCCAGGGCACCATGTGGTCACTGGCACCACGCTCCTGCCACAGGACCTCCCAGCCTGAGCTCACCTGTCCATGTCCTCTGCTGGGTGACGATGAAACTTTGACACTGGGATTGGGAGTTGCAGATCGCGGCGGCTTCCTCGGCGCTGTGGACGGAGAGCAGGCATCCCAGGTGGCTGTAGGAGGGCCAGCACTTATAGTCCTCTGCTTCCACTGTACGGAAGCCCTTCAAGGAGATATATTCTGGGAACAGAAAGATAGTGTTTAGAGAGATTATGCCCACTTTCAGTGACTAGTCACAACGTAAACTTTATACTGTGTACTCTAGTGAAATTCTCCACGGAAATGAAATAGCCATAGATGGAATTGACCTGCTTAAATGGTGTGAGTGGAGAGGCAATTCCTCCACATATATGATGGAGCATGTATAGGAACTTCTCTCAACTTCCTATAGGCATCAATACAGACTGAAGGAACAGGGGTGACACTAAAGAGGTGCACAAGAGGGCAGAGGCCACAGCAGTGGGTTGTGGTAGGGACTGGCCTTTCCAGCAGGACTCCAGAGGAGCCAGCATCACGGCAGTCACCTCAGCCCCAACAGCAGCACCAGCTCCTGGGGAATCACAGATCCACCACACAGAGGTGTGGGGCACACGGTGAACCATACGTCATGGTGGCACCCAAAGATGCAGGAGATTTAGGATTCACAGTAGAGGAAAGGGAGGCCAGATCTTGCTCCAGCAGAAGACAAAAGATGTGACAAGCCTGAGCAGGCAATGGGAAGTTCACTGTTCACGGAGTCTCTCCCTTCCTTCCCACAGCTCTGGGATGGTGACCATGTTAGCACATCGCCATTGGGCCAACTGCTAAGTCAACAGGTAGGTGTCATTGGAAAACAGTGGCAATTCCTGTTAAAACTGCTGGTCCTTCAGCACAAATGCCCCAGTATTTTTGTTCTTAAATGTGCAAATCCAGTTCCACTGAACACAAAGGGATTTCCTTCAAGCCACTGCCACCTTGAGCAAACACTCAGGAAAATGTAAGCCATGGTAACTGCTGGATTTTCCAAGCCTTTCCAGTGAGAAGGATCATCAGCTAGGTCTCTACAATGGAACAGATCCCATTTATATAGAGGCATGTTCTTCGTAGAGGCAACTTTATCAATCAGGAAAATGGTCTTCAGTAAAAATAAAGAAAGAAAGAAAGTAGGGCAACGGCAATAGTGCTGTTGCACACTCAGCTCAGTCACTGTTGGGAACCCCACACACTTTGTACTTCTGTGAAACGGGGGAAGATTGTGTATCAACGTGGAAAGGTGCCCTATTTGTCAAGAGAAAAAGATGACACTGGAGAGAGAACATGTGAGACTCAAGTTTACGTCTCTGGTCTATACCTATAGATATACATCAATTCACTTAAACAGACTGCTGAGCATTCTGAAAAGAGTATTTAGAAGCAGTGCAAACATATGTTCATATGTATGCCAGATTGTCTCTACTGCACTTCCTTTGCAAAACAATGCAATCGTGCATAACTCTCATGAAGAAACAATGAAAGACTGCTCAAATGAGGGAGGAAAAGAAAAAAAGATACTTTGGTGTTTAATTCTATTCCTTGTGACCACAGACTCACTGAGTGTAAAAGAGATGAGAATTTGACCAATTAGAAAGTTCTTGCTTCTAATGCTACAGGAATTATTAGTATTACTTAAAGCATCTGCAATCATGTACCTTTTAAAAGAAGAGGTCTTTTCTGTAGATAGAGCCCAGACTTGTACAGATGTAAAACCTTTTCAAAAGCTTTCAGGGTTTCATTTATACCATATCGTAAATCACCTACATTTAAAGAAAAAAAAAATGACAAGGATGAGCTATTCAACAAAATACCATTTGCAATATTCTAATAAAAAAGCCTTGGTTTATGGATATTAGCTGCTACCTGTTGCATTCAGAATATCACTCAAAAAGGGCTGCAAAGGTGGAGGTGCAGAGTATGGCAGAAGATAGGTGAAAAAATATCTGAAAAACAAACAAACAAACAAGTAACAACGTTTTCCTCTGATTTGATTAGCTGCATGTGACTAGTGAGTCTACCTTGGTTCTTAAATAATGTTTGCCCACTTCACTGGCGTCTCATGGACCATTCTTGTGCATTAAGGTGGAAGCTTGGTCTTTACAGCACAGAGCACAGCCCAGCACTACACTTTCAGCAATGGAGCTTTCCCTCATTCATGCTCTCTGGACCAAATTTTTGTGCACTAAGCAATGGATGATCTCCAGAAGTCCCTTCCAACCTTAATGATTCTATGATTTGCCATAATTGAAAAAGACCTATACAAAAGAAGACTCACTCAAGACCTGTTACTTGCCTTGAAGAGGTTTGGCATCCCTGTTACCCATGGAAAAGCAGAATGTGTCTCTTATTTATCCCCTGAATCCTCCAGAATGCTCCTGTTCTACAGGAGACAAATACCTTCCTGCAAGGCTATAACAGTCTATACAGGGATTCATTCTTGCAAATCCTTGGCAAGCCCTGCCAATAAGAGCTACCATAATAAATCTTTCTGCATAAATATCCATCTGCCAGGACTTCCAATTTCACCTGACCTTCTGAACACCAGTGGTGAGTGGAAGTCACCGTACGTGAAGGGTTGGTTGGTGGCCTACATGAAGGGATGCAGCAGTCTCGGCCTCTTGCCCACTCATTGCTAGTCCATAGGTGCCCGCAGTTTTGGTACAGACAGAGATGGAGTTCGAGGGAAAAGTTAGCCAACCTGTTCCCAGCAGGAGCAGGGCAGAGTGGATGTGCTTGGGCGGGCACCCTGCCCTGCCACCGCTTCCAGCAAACGTAGCCAGTGGCTTTCGGATGACAGGCCTTTGGTAGGACTTGCTTGGCAAATAATGAATTCACAGGTGCAACCTTTGAAGCAAATTTCTAGAGGGCTTTAGGGAAAGGCAGCAGTGGAAGAAGGATGCCTACATTCTCCCTAGACAATAACTATTTTACTGCCTTATAAGGAAAATGAACAGGCTTCAAAGAGATCCTTACTTACCCCCTGACAGAGGCAAGGGAGAAACACTGCATGGAAGAAATGAGAGCTAGTGCATGTTACATGGCATTGCGTGAGTTCAAACACGGCACATTTTCTTCCCTGTTTAATTGGACGTACCGATATGCATTGAAAAGATTCTTCTTTTCATTTATTCCTTCACATTTCCCAACTGCGGAGCATTTGAGAGGAAAGCTTTTTGTAGGGAATTCGAGTGTGCAGTCATTATCTTCCTTGCATGACAGTTCCTCAGTGCTGGCATCATCCATGTCTGTCACTTTTAGGTTTCCATCCACCATAACAAACTGCCTCGGCTGGAAATCCAAGAGGACTATTGAACCCAGAGGGGAATGTGCCAAGTAAAACAGCAGTTTCACAAGACTCAGGCAAATCTGCAAAAGAGAAGATGAATATGCATGGAAAAACAGATGAAAAACAGCTATTAAATTGGAAGTAGAACAAAGGAGAGGGCATTCACTGAAATTAAAGGCAAAAAAAAAGCATATAGTACTTAAAAGGTAATTATGTGTATGCTACAAAATTTATTATCAACATTGCCACAGGATTTGACTGTGGTAAGTAGTTTAGCAACATTTTTTTAAAACATGTGTATACAAAAAGAGACATTGGCGGTTACACTAACTAGAGGAGAAAGCTGTGAGGAAAACAATAGCAGTCTTCATGTTTCAGGACCTATACTGATTTGCTAGCTGAAATCAGAAGGATTTCCCCCCCACACTTTGGCATAGAATTAATACATTCCCCTCCCTTCCCCCATGCTGCTCCATAGAGACTGAGGCTCCATGGTCATTAATACCAGATTCATGTGTTGCTGAATCACTCAGCAGTACAAATTTGGGCACACAATCTTGCTTCTGAAGAATCAGACGGAAAATGCAATACATTGCATGCCAGCCTTTTGCTTCCCATCAGCTTTCTGGCTGCAGGGAAAGGTCAGGCAACACCTGACGCAGCATGAAGCCTGGTAGGGAACTCTGGGACGAAGCGGGGCTAGCAGAGCGCAGCCCCACAGAACCAGCACTTTGAGCAGCTGCAGCATTTCTCATTCAGCATCGGGAGTCCTAGGATCCATGAACTGTATCATCGCCTAGGTGTGCCGCAGCCAGGCCTGCACCACGTCTCCCTCCCCAGATAGGGATCTGGGCAGGCACAAGGGTTTGCTCACCCTGAACCACTCAGAATCCTTGCTATCTGATGTGGCTCGTTACCGGGAAAATCCCATCCGTTTAGATGCCCTAATTAGGAAAGAGGACTAGACATTGCTAGTCTCTATTCTGCATTAGTGTGTTGAGCCATCAAAAGATTATTAAAATCTTAATGCCACCATGCTGAGCCTTGCCATCAGCAAAGCTAGTAACATGCTGTCTCAGCTCTATGAAAGACTTCACAGTTAAGAAATGAAATGCATGGAAAGATGTGGAAGGCAGTAGAAAATAGCTTGGCAGCAAAAATGGAATTCTACAGGTCAGGAGAAATAATTCTACTATTTTATCTTCACTAGTGAAGCAATCAGGCTGAAGTGAGCCCAACTTCTCTTCCCGCTCCCAGCTGCCCACTTTCCCGCCCTGGCTTGGATGGCAAGGTTCATCTCCATCATTGTGGACCACATGCAGAGAGAGATTTTATTCTGGGAGTTTTGTTGTGTTTTTATTTTACCCAGAGCATTTTGCATTGACATTAAGGTACCCCAGCTTCCCCTTGATGCTCCCCTTCCTCCTTAGGAAGCAAACAAGTAGCAGCCAACCCCCAACTGAGACCTTGCAGCACAACTGTAATACAAGTCAAAACCAAAATAACTGCCATGTCACAAGTCATTTATGTTCATGGAGGGCTTCAAGGGCTCTATGTATAATGCTTAGTAGGTAAGAGAGATGACAGGAACAGAGATGTGATCCCATCACCTACAGCATGCAGAAAGCAATTTGGCAGTGTTGGTATTACAGTATAGCTAAAGGGGTAAGATCAGAAACATCACACGAACACTCGGCAAGATGGGCTGCTCAGCTTGCAGCCTAGGAAAAGATATTGCACAGGCAACAACAGACACATAGCAAGGAGGAGACCCATAGAGGGTAGAGCAACTGAAAATATAGTATAATACTGGCTATTACACACCATGCCAAATCTGAGGAAGATTCCTCCTTTAAGTCTCTTTGGAGGAAAAGAATGCCTCTATGAAACTCCAGACTATGACTATTTTTAAATGCATTTTAAAGGAAGCGATAGCAAAATGATTCAAAGGCGATTTGCAGGAGCAAACAGAGTGTGAGCACAACAATCCCGTTTGCCCCAGCAGTCATCACGGGCTCTTTGCTTTCACTCAGTTTGAGGTCTAAAAGACACTGATAAACCCCTCTTTGTTTTGTTTTCTTACTTTAAATCTCTCCTCCCAGGGGGTCTGCAGAAGCTGAATCATCTCCAGGGGGGCTCCCAGCTCCAGCATCGCGGTGACCCTCACGTCAGGATCTCCGCTGCTGTCATAGCATTGACCATGCAGCTGTGGAGAGAGAAGCCGCGGGGTCAGAGTGAAGCCAGCCGGGATGCAGGGAGTCGGGGTCGCCTTTCCAGGCAGCGAGGGGAGGGGGCTGAATAAATATTGACAGATCGACAGAGCCCTCGGGATTCAATTAGAGCCGCCGCGCTCCCGCGTCGGGGCCCGCGACGGCAGTGAGTGCTGCAGGACGCGGGATGTGAGATGCGGGATGCGGGATGTGGGATGCAGAATGGAGGCGTTTCCCCCATCAGCGAGGCGCATGTCCCTCCTCAAGGGCTTCCGTGGGGGCCCCCGCGACCCCCGCGTGCCCCCCGCGGCGCTGCCCCGGGGTCGCGGC